AATTGTAAGTGATATTAGTACTAATATTAAGTTTGCTCACTATTATATTACTGAGAAATTTTCATGTATATTAAATATAAGATATATTGCTTATGCAATTAATCTTATATCTAAAGATATATGTAAATACCATTTGTTAATAAAATTTTAAGTCAATATATAGTATTGGTTAAATATTTTAAAACAAGTCATCTTTCAGATAAATATTTTATAATTATATAATAATAATTAATAACTATAAATATTTCTCACATAATATATATTTATTTAGGATAAATACTTAAAGATCTTTCTATGAAATTAGAAGTTAAAGGCAGAGGATTAAAAAATAGATTGATATAAGATAGCTTACAATGTATGATTATAGAATCTGTAATACGCTATCAGATTCCTTTAGAAACTATAAGTATTAATAATAATATATTATTAAAATTAAATGTTTTTTATTAAATTAATAATATTATAATAATTTAGATGTATCCAGGTTATGCAGAAATGCTTTCTACTGCAGCATTAAATATTTTATGAAGTCATACTTTTTTTGATAATTGTCATATATTAGCTTTTACTTTGTATTTACTTAAAAAAAGTATTGCTACTTTAAAATCACAAATAAGTATTTTAGTAAACTATTATTTAAGATTAACATAATTAAGAGCAGCTATTAATAAGTTACCAAAAAATGACTATCAAGAATTTTGACAAGATTGTATTGCAATTTTTAATCAAAGATTTATTAAATTTAATGAAGATGCATATTTATTATGCCTTATTATATCTGAGTATTAATGGTAAAAATATTTTAAAAAAAATTTGAGAGAATGGTAAAATCAAACAAAAAGCATAGAGAATTAATATCACAACTAGCTGCATATAAAAAGTGAGATCCACTATTTGATTTACAATATGAATTTGATAACTCTCCTATAATATGGTAATATTGTATAGATGATTCTTTGCTAAAAGGTCAAAATCATATTACACAGCTTGCTACTAAGCTTTTTTTAATTACTTTTTATGCAGCTTCTTATGAAAGAATGTGATTATCTCTTAATTAGTTTTATAGAAAGTGTAAAACTAGATTTAATTTAGAAAAAATTAAAAGAATGCAAAAATTAGCATCATTCTATTTTGCAAATGCAAAAAAAGAATCATTATATTATGATACTAAAAAGAAAGTGAAAATTACAATCTATTTTAAATAATGCTGATTTATATGAAGATGAAGAATTTAAAGATCCAAATGATGAAACAAATAATATAGATATATTAGATGTATTAGAAGAGAATAATATTTTAGATCTTTGAAATATCAGAATTTTTAAAAGATCTTGATGAATTTATTGGAAATTTAGATATTAATTTAGAAGAGAAATCAGATAATAGTAAAATAGTTCAGGAAAAAATTGATGAAGATTGTGATCCTAATTTAGTAGTTGAAGCTTATTTATAATAACTTTATAGATATGTTAGTTAAATAATTAATATCTATTAATTCATGATTCATGTAACAATCAGAGTACGTATTCAAAATTTAATAGTAAATTGTGGGGTTAATAACAAATAATAAAAATGAAGATTTTTCAAATCTCCATTTCTTTATAAATTGGTTTTTCATGTCTTCTAAAAAACAAATAATATAACTTCTTTCTTTAGGTAGTCTCGTTCTAACTAAAGATGGTCCCCATAATTATTTTCAAATTTCAATTGAGTTGCAACTTAATTGCATCATAAGGAAATTTAATTGCGCCACAAGTTGCAACTCAATTGCGCCATTTTTTTTAATTGCAGTGATCATCTTTAGTTCTAACACTTCATTATGGTGTATATTCAATAAATTGGTAAACTTTTATTGATAGAAAAATTCTCAATGAAGAGAAACAAATATATATACCTATAAGATTAAACATAAGAGTTCAATTAGAACTTAACAAAACCAAATTTATTATCCGTATTGTTAGTGCAGAAGATGGCATTAAATCAGGCTATATCTGTGAATCTGATGTAATTGCAAAAGTTTATCTTTCCGCTTCAAAAGCTATAAATAAAACCTATAACAATCTTTTTAATAATAAAACACGATGTTCAAGACCTTCAGTTTTAGGATTTGATAATGAAAATGTTACTCAAGAACTATTATCTGATGTTTATTTTATCCTTTCAAAATAATGATTGACAAACTTTCTATTCTAATTATAAAGTTAGGTGATTCAAATGACAATAATATGGTTGGGTATTAATCAAGTTTTATGTTCAAATATCAAGGCAAGCAAAGTCTTTTTGTACAAAAAATTAAATGTAAAAAATATTGTATAGAGATATTTTAGAAGAAAGAAAGAATTGTATACTATAGTGATATTTTACCAACTGAAGTTTAGAAGAAAATGGAAATATTAAAAAATTATGATAGTGGTGTTTTATTTGAAATTAAGCATCCTACTACAGTCAATGCATTGAAAATTTATGCAAAATCACTAATATGTAGCATGAATGAATGGAATAATATCAAAATAATGACCCAAGCATTTGAGCAGCATCTAAAATGTCAAATTAATATTCTTGATCTTAATTGGCATAAGTTTTTATTGAATGGAAAGACAAGAATCAAATATTATAGAATTTATGATGCATCTTAAACCACTATATCCGTTAAATTATGAATTTAATGATCAGAAGTTAAATGCTTGGAGGAAGATGATGAAAAGTGTAGGTTATACGAATATAACGCCTTATAAAAAGCAAAAATTAAAGGTAAGAGTTTTTGGAATTAACCATAAAATTTTGCATCTAATATAATCACGTAGTTAAAAAATCAAACTTTTATTATTATAGCCTGAATTTTGGATATACGCGATGAATTTTAGTAATGACGGTACCACACTTCTATATTTGTTCAATAAAAATTTGCTAAATAGTGTTTATAATAATGAAGCTGAATTTATAAAAGAAAATAATTAATTGAAAATAATCATTGATAAATTCTGGCAATATTTTAAACAAGCAATCAAAGCTAATAAATGCAGATTAGATAGAAAGTAACAAATTCTTTCTATTATAATGGAAAAGTTTAGATTTAGAGAAATACAAAAAAAATTACAAGTAAGTTTGAATATAATGCCATTTGTTATTTCATAAATAAAATAAACTTATCACAATTTCTTTTTAAATTTTAAATGATTTAATTAGTGTCTTAACGAAATATAGTCATATAAATGGTCCAAGGTGTTCTGCAAAAATCAAACCAGTTGTAACACAAAATTGTATTTCTGAAATAAAAGATAGAGAATTTGAAAGCTTTTTTTCTGACAAAGAAAATGTCACGATGAGCTCTTATCGTATTAACCCAAAAACTAACTTACCATTATTATATCTAAAAGATAGTAAAGAAACTCTATAGCAAAAATTCAAGGTAGCTTATCCTAATGGAATAAAAAGAACCTTTTTTATGATGCGTTTAGTAAGTGATCGATATGTATATCAAAAAGATTTAGGTGGGCTATGTAATATTTGCAATGAATATTATTACGAAGTATTTGATATATTAATTAGTTTGGTGTGATTACATGTAGAAAAGAAATCACAGGTATATAATAAGAATATTATGTAATAAAATTTTGTTTGAATTTATTATTTATAAAAAATTTGTAAATAAATATTATTATTTTTTTTTAAAAAAATAAAAATAAAAATCTCAAAAACTCAAAAATTCACTAATAAATGAACTTGAAAAATTATGCTATCATCTAAAACGAGATTTTGAAAATGAACTTATTGTAAATAAAGATGGCACAGTATCACATATGGATACAATTAATCACTAGTTATTATACACGTTTAGAGAGTATACACAAGAATATAAGAGCTGTTATGCTATGTGTGATCAATTATTCATGCTTCTTGAACATTTAATTATGGTATTTCCAGAAAATTTTCAAACTACAATCAAAGAATCACGTAATAAACTTTATTATTTTCTTGCTCACCAGGCAAGAAAAGTCTATTTAAATAATCAATTTAAAGCAAAACTTTTAGAACTTGACGATAATGATACAATTCTAGTATGTGATTATAAAATGAGAATCTTACCTAAAAGTACTCGCAAAACTAAGGAGTAGTTCTTTGAAAAGCGTGGCTGAACACTTCATATGATTTTGGTTTTTACAAAATATAATGCTTCACAACTAAATGTACAAGCATTTGACCACTGGTCTACTGATATCAAGCAAGATGCTTGGTTTACTACGTCATCCTTTGATGCTATTTTTGAAATGTTAGATTTAAAACTGAAGTGGATCAAAATTTTTTCTGATAATGGTAATCATTACTACAATTTGAAATTAATGACCATTGTTGTAAATTGGAATTAATAGTATAGAATTGATGTTTATGGATAGCATTTTTTCAAATCTGAAGAGGCAAAATCTAGTGTTGATTCGCATCATGCGCAAATAAGTTATAGTTTCATTTGATAAAATATTAATTTTATCTATAAAGCACTATATAATAGTAAATTATCAATACCAATTTCCTTTTAGATAGCTCATTCCATCAAGAGATACATAAGAGTCAGGTATAATTTAGATAATGATGAGAAAATAGAAAACGTGATAAAGAATCTTGGCAGAACTTCTATTGCTCATCTAGAAACAAAATGAAATTATATATCCGTTAAAGCTATATCTAGCATTACCAAATTATCATATTTTGAATGGTCAATTGAAGGCCTATTCATCAGATATATTCAAGCTTAAACTTTATCACATATAGGTAAATGGTCACGTTACTCTCTAATCAACATCTCAAAATTAATTGATGAATCCTTGCATAAGCTAACTCCTGATATTTCTATACATACTAAATCAAATTTGCCATGGAATTTTCCTATAGTTCAGATTAAAGGTATGTTATAGATGAAAAATATATTTATTATATTTATGTTTATTCAAAGATAATAAAAAATAATCATTTTTTTTTCTTTTATAGATAAAATAAATAAATGCATGTTAATAATACCTAAATCTATTCTACAGGTAAGTACAGCCAGACTGCCTTGATAATAATGTAAGTTTTTCTCTATAAATTATAGTTACTCTATTATTATAAATATAAGCAATAAATTTCAGTTAGAAAATGGATAGATGCATAAGAGTAATCAGAAATATGGTCAAAGGGGTAGTAGAAAATGTATAACAGCAATAGTAAAAGCTTATTTGGAAAGGTTTTTTTTTTGGTGAGAAATATGAATAAAACAGACTAAATGTCTGTAAAAGATATGGTTTTAGAGCTAAATAAATTAGTAGCAGAATAAAAATGGTCCCCATAATTATTTTCAAATTTCAATTGAGTTGCAACTTAATTGCACCATAAGGAAATTTAATTGCGCCACAAGTTGCAACTCAATTGCGCCATTTTTTTTAATTGCGGTGACCATCTTTATAGCAGAAGGTGAAATTCAAAAAGACAAGGTACTTGAAATAAAAACAATTGAGGGTTGGATTACAAAATATTTTGCAAGCTTACGTAAAGAATCAGCAGAACAAAGAGTAATAGGTGAAGCTAATAAAAGAATTGAAAATAGTGGTAATAGTAAAAATAGTCATAAGCGGCAGTAAAGATAATATTTTTATAATATAAATCGATAAAATTTTTAATTTTACTATATTTTGACCTACTCAAATCTCCGTTTCTTCCATATAAAAGTTTTTAAATAGGAGATGAAAAAATTTTATAAATGATTAAATCAAAACTTTCAGATTCAGTTTATCGTTCTGTCAATTTTTTTTCCTGATATAAGTTACTTTAATGCTTTACGTATTATGTAATTACTGCGCATTAGAGATTATCATATGCCGATCGCCTCAAATTTATCATATAAATCTGCTCTGATTGATCAGTAAATTAGCAATTAAAATTTTTATTTTATAAATAAAATTTTCATAAATATTACAATTTATTTTAATTAATTAAAGTATATTATTTAGTTTTGCTAAATTTCATTTAAAAATTTGTTAAGTTTTGAATATTTATCAGTTTTATTAGAAGGTTTCATTAAGTTTTAATAATTTCAGAAGTTTTACTAATTTTTAGAAAATTTCACCAGAAATTAAGTTTCAGTTTCACTTACAACATTAAATCAACCTATTCAAAATTCTAATTTTACTATATGTACTTATGAATTAAATAAAAAATGTTTAGAATTCTAATTAGATTCTTCAATTATTTTAGAAATTATTGCTAAAAATTTATTATAAATACATTTTTAACATTCTTTACAAAATTAATTAATTTTTTATCACAAGATTTGAAAAATATTAATGATTATCTGAAGCCTCTCAAAGTTTTCTTTAAATAAGTTATTAAATATAATTGTCTATTAAAATTAATTAATTTATTAATTATTATTATTTTTTTTTAGTTATGTGAAAATTCAAAGTTATTTTAAAATTTTTTTGATACCTTTACCTATAGATTTTCTGAATCAGTTATACATTAGTATGTTATTATTCAAAGGTTAAAATTAGGTAATTTATTAGCAATTTTAAGTATAATTATACATCTAGTACTTATTTTAGGATTTTTACATATATCACTTAATATTGTGAAAACTGCTTTTTAGTATTTTAAGGCTTTTTTAATAACTTTATAAAGTTATTTTTCAAAGAAAAAGGAATTTAATAACAAAACTAAACCTAAAGAATTGATTAATCTATTATTATACAATCAACTCTTGATATAGCGAACTCTTAATATAATGAATTTTTTGAACAAATATAATAAAAATACTCTTGTTATAGCGAATTGGCCAATCAAATCTCTTAAAATCTTCACTATAGCCTTATAGTGAAGTTGAGATCTAAGACATAGAGTTCGTTATAACAAGAGTTGACTGTATTTAGCTTATATAGCATGAATGCTAATTAAAAATAAGTTATTATATACTTTAGTGAAAGTAAAGATCCAGCATATCACACTTTTATTAATTTATTAGATGCACTAATGCATTTAATATTAAATATCTATACTGTATTTTTTTGGAATAACCATTTTGATGAATATGTTGAAATAATATTTTAATTATAGATAATAATGTGCTGATTTTAAAGAAAGAATTATAATAAAATTATGCTTACATTTTTATTAGATATTCAATATTGATCCTAAATTAATTATCTTATTCTTCTAGTACTTATAACTTATTTTAATGCTTTTAATGATTATTCTGTAAAAAACTTTCACAGTCTCATTAGAAGATAAACTAATATAAAAGTTTTAATTTTAAAATAGTTAAATATGTAATAGAATATTCGTTAATCATTAACGTTGTTAATGAAAGAAATTACAGTTCTAAATATTACGTAAAATTTGCCAATCAATAATGATCTTATGATAGATGATATTATTGTTATACTAAATAGTGATCAATAATAATTCTGTTTTGTCTATTTTTTCTGTATTTTCTGTACAGTCTGTTTATTCTGTTTATCTGTTTCGCCTGTAATTTTCTTAACGTCTATAATTTATTTTATTTCTTTTTATTATTTTTATAGTTTATAATATTTTTATTATTTTAGTATATTTTTATTAGAACATATATCTATATTTAGTTAATTTATAGCATAGCAAGTAGTTAATTATAGCAAATTCATTTTGTATAAATAGAATAACTTTTTGCTTAGGTTGTAAATTAACTCATTTGTAAGTTTCATACGAATTTTAAGTTATTAATGAAGGAATCAATTTAAATTCATACAAATTTACTTTTTTCTTCAATATTATCCCTCATCTAGAATTGTTATAATACTCTATATTAACTTACTATTGAGTTCATTATTACAAATTTGACTAACATATCTTAAATTCTAAGATATGATAAATTGTCAAATTAAATCAAGTATAATAGATACCTGTAAGACTTAAAAAAAATCCTAAGATCGAAAACTTTAATATATAAGAATCTATGTAAATATATATATTTTATATTATAAAACATATTGTAAATTAATTAAAAAAAATAAATACAATAAAAAATCAACTGTTATAACTTTTCAACTTAGACGTTAAGATAAATGAAAATAAATCTGATAACAATGTTATAATAATTTTACAATCTTTAGAATCAAAAAATTATACCTTTATTCAAAACAAAATATTAACCTAATAGTAAAATGTGCTACTGATTTTTATTGCAATTTTTTAATAATATTTTAAAAAAAAACCTTAGAAAATATGAAGTAAAAAAAAAAGAAAAATAGATTAAAAAATTTTACTAATATTTTCAGATATTTTAAAAGGATTTTTCAAAGGAGCTTTACTATTAGAATATTATTCAATCAAACTTTCTCAAACAAATAATTTTGTAATGCAACAGTAATAAATCAGTTATACAGTCAACTCTTTTTACAACGAATTTTGATATAACGAATTTTACAATACAACAGATTTTCATTGTCAGACAGATTTTTAAATATAAAAAAA